GCCTAGAAAAGGTGGCCTAACCAAAGCTCATCTCCCCCTCCACCTGGTTGGCTAGCCGCGGCCAACAGGCATCTTCTATTGCGGTCAATTAAAAACAAAGAGACAAAGGCATACACCTGCCTCCGAAGGTGTGTCCAGATTGACACTCGCATGTTGGAACATCAGAACCATGCTTGATACAGTGAACAGTGGGCGTCCTGAGCGCCGTTCTGCGCTAATTGCCCACGAATTGTCACGTCTTAACATCGATATCGCTGCACTCAGTGAAGTTCGCCTTCATGAGGAAGGTAGCCTCAAAGAACATGGTGCTGGCTATACACTCTACTGGTCAGGCAAACCCAAAACTGAAAGTCGTCTTTCTGGAGTCGGCTTCATGATTAAAAACTCCATAGCCTCCAAACTTGAAAATTTGCCGATAGGTCATTCCGACCGTATTATCTCCTTACGTCTTCCACTGCACAATAAGCAACACGCTGTTCTTTTCAGCATATATGCTCCAACTCTGCAAGCTGACCCTGCAGAAAAAGAAAAATTCTACTCCGACCTGCGTCACCTCACTCAGAAAGTTCCTATAGAAGATAAGATCATAATCCTTGGTGACTTCAACGCCCGAGTAGGAAAGAACTTTGAAGCCTGGAAAGGAGTGCTAGGCAAGCACGGTGTTGGCAGCTGCAATGATAACGGTCGTCTCTTGCTAGAGTTCTGTGCAGAGCAACATCTTACCATCACCAACACTATCTTCCAGCAGAAAGACAGCTGGCAGACAACCTGGATGCATCCACGATCTAAACATTGGCACCTTATTGATTATGTTTTAGTGCGCCAGAGAAATATTCGTGATGTCTGCCAGACCAGAGTGATGCCTAGTGCAGAATGCCAAACAGACCACCGCCTTGTGCGTTGCAAACTTAATTTCCACTTCAAGCCCAAACCTAAGAGGGGCGGCATTCCAAGGAGGAGGCTCAATGTTGATAATCTTCAAATAGCTGCAGTGAGGGACAGCTTTCAGGCTAACCTTCAAACTAGGCTTGAAGACCAACTTACAGATTCTTCTCCTGAAGCGCTTTGGCAACATATCAAAAACAGCATCCTACAGTCCTCCGTAGAATCCATTGGGTTCTCCTCAAAGAAAAACAAAGACTGGTTTGACGACAGCAACCAGGAGGTCCAGGAATTGCTGACAAAAAAGAGATCTGCTCATCAAGCACACCTCGCTCAGCCACTCTGCCATGTAAGAAAAGCAGCCTTTCGTCTTGCATGTAGCAAACTCCAACAGAAACTTAGAGACATCCAGAACAAGTGGTGGGTCAACCTAGCAGAAAAGACTCAACTATGTGCAGATTTGGGTGACCACAGAGGATTCTATGAGGCTCTGAAGGCAGTGTATGGACCCACATTCCAGGTTCAAAGCCCCTTACTTGGTGCAGATGGCCAAACGCTTCTTACAGATAAAATCTCCATCCTGAATCGTTGGTCTGAACATTTTCAAACCCTCTTTAGTGCTAATCGTGTAGTCCAAGGCGAAGGAATCCAGCACATTCTGCAACATCCGGTGAAAAACGAATTGGATTTAGCCCCTACCATGGGAGAGACTCTTAAGGCCATACAGCAGGTGAAAACTGGCAAGGCAGCTGGGGTTGACGGAGTCCCACCTGAAATATGGAAGCATGGAGGCCAAGCACTCCACGCTAAATTTCATGAGCTAGTTGTGTGCTGTTGGGAACAAGGTAAAATACCGTCAGACTTTCGTGACGCAATCATCGTCACTCTGTATAAGAAAAAAGGTGTCAAGTCAGACTGCTCAAACTACCGTGGTATAACTGCTCTCCATTGCTGGTAAAATTCTTGCAAGAATACTATTGAACAGACTAGTACCTGCCATCGCAGAAGAACTTCTACCTGAAAGTCAGTGTGGTTTCAGGGCTAATAGAAGTACCACAGACATGGTATTTGTTCTCAGACAATTGCAAGAAAAGTGTAAAGAACAGAATAAGGGGTTATACGTAACTTTCGTTGACCTCACCAAAGCTTTTGACACTGTGAGCAGGAAAGGCTTGTGGCTGATCTTAGAACGATTAGGTTGTCCCCCCAAGTTCCTGAAAATGATTATTCTGTTACATGAGGATCAGCAAGGCCAAGTCAGGTATGGTGATGCACTCTCTGAGCCTTTCCCAATAACCAATGGTGTGAAACAAGGTTGCGTTCTCGCACCGACCTTATTCTCAATCTTCTTTAGCATGATGCTCCAAAGGGCTACAGCAGACCTCGACGAACAAGACGGCATTTATATTCGATATCGTACCGATGGTAGCCTATTCAATCTAAGGCGACTGAAGGCCCACACTAAGACCCTAAACCATCTTGTCCGTGAACTGCTCTTTGCTGATGATGCCGCCCTTGTTGCCCACACAGAAGCAGCTCTGCAGCGTTTAACATCTTGCTTTGCGGAGGCGGCCGAGGTTTTTGGGCTGGAAGTCAGCTTGAAGAAGACAGTAGTCCTCTACCAACCTGCACCGCAAGAAGATTATCACCATCCCCATATTACCATCGGCGAGTCAGAGCTTAAGACAGTTCAGCAGTTCAGCTATCTGGGAAGCATCATTTCCTCGGACGCCACGATCGACAGAGAGATAGACAACAGAATAGCAAAGGCATATAGAGCCTTCGGAAAACTCCATAAAAGAGTCTGGTGCAATAAACACCTGAAGTACAAAGATCAGTGTCTATAGAGCCATTGTATTGTCTACTCTTTTATATGGGTCTGAATCATGGGTCATCTATCGTCATCACCTGCGACTCCTGGAACGCTTTCATCAGCGCTGCCTTCGTACAATTCTAAACATCCATTGGACTGACTATATGTCTAATGTCACTGTCCTCGAACAGGCAGGGGTCACCAGCATCGAGGCCACATTGCTGAAACTGCAGCTGCGCTGGGCAGGGCACGTCTCTAGGATGAAGGATCACCGCCTCCCCAAGATCGTGTTTTACGGTGAACTTGCCACCGGTAGCCGCAAGAGAGGTGCCCCAAAGAAGAGATACAAGGACTCCCTGAAACAATACCTTAGCCTTGGCCATATTGACTACCATCAGTGGTCCACCTTGGCCTCCAATGGGGAGACTTGGAGGCACACCATACATAATGCCGCTGACTCCTTTGAGAGTTCACGAAGAACTAGTCTCGAGGAGAAAAGACAACGCAGGAAGAATCGTGTCCCACCTGTTCCACCCAAGGAGACCTTCTGCTGTGTTTTTTGTAGCCGGATTTGCCTATCCCACATTGGCCTTCTTAGTCATCAGCGCGCTTGTAGTAAGCGTGGGTAAATGCCCTTCCCAAATCTTCGTTCGCGAAGTCAAGCCATGATGATGTAAGTGTATGAATTTGCATGTAGTTACTGTTGCTAATACAAACTGTGTCCTGTGACAAAACTTCTATGAAAGCATAAAAGAAGTCCCCCTGAATAAGAAGGTCATGCAGTGTAACTGGCTAACATTGTAAGAACTTGCTAGGTCACTGCTCCAGATTCCTTAAATCAGCAAGCCTTTAATATACCTTTAATGCTTGATGTACCCCATGGGATTAGGGGAATTACATGGGGAAGTGAATACCGTACAAGGTACTTAAAATTAGTGAGAGCTTTGGGTTACCAAAGTGCTTACTCCTCTAGACCCCTGAGAGTGGAGGGGGGAGATCCTCAGGTAGAAAAGTTGATTTATTTATTTATTTATTTACTCATTTATTTTATTTTCATGAACACTGGGGGGATTCTTCAGCTTGAGAAAAGCTCCTTGCAAACAGTCTTCACCACCTCCTATTGCAAAATTGTTGTGTGTCCGTCTCCTCTCCCAAACTCAGCTACTAAAAATTCCTTGCTGAGCTCAGTATTGTCTTACCTTGTTTCGTGGGAAATTCTGGCTCTCTGAGTGGTGTTACATTCCCTTTCCTAATGAGGTTCTTGTCTAAACAGTTCAAATACCAGCAGAACAAAACCTGCATTGTAAAAATAGACCTGTTCACAGTGTTATTTGTTAATTCACATCAATGCATGTGTAGTTACCTAATTTGCTACTCAGTTTGGCATTTCAGATGACTACATGGCATTTGGCTTTGACCTCCTGAGTAAATTCAGTGCAGGCATACGTAACGTTAGCTATTTGCTTCTGGCCAGAGATAGGCAAATGTGTTGTAAAGTAGCATTTAATGATTGCCTAGTATTTCATGAACTGGAGGATTTAGGAGTTATCAATGAATACTACTTTTGTTTTTAGAGTTATTCTACAGCAGTAAAAGGGTAGGTTGGAAGTTGCCTTGTACTATTGGAAAAGGCTGATCTTGTCTTGGAGCCTGAACCATGTACTTTCCATATTTCTGTATGACTTCTGGCAGATGATTTCCATATTGGCATATTAGCTTCCTCATTTCCAGAATTTTAGAAAACTGGTCTGCTTCATGGGAATATGAAGCAAAACTTAATCTGGACATGTAAGGTACTCAGCTAACTGTCTGTAATTTAAAAACTCAAGTTACCAGAAACTGTAGGATGGTAGAACATGGAATAGCTGTCTTATATTTTATCTGGAAGCATATAACAGAATTAACATGTTTGGGTTTTAGTTCATTCTGCCAAAGTATGGGGGGTGGGAGGCTGTGGGGTTGTGGTCAAACTGCAAAAATAATTGAATGGGGGGAAGGACATCACGTTTGCTTAGTTGGTTTGCAGAATAGTTGGCCTGTTAATTACCATCATGCTGGCAGAAAGAATCTTTAGAATGCAATTGCTTCTTTATTGCTTTTGCAGAAAGATCCTAATTTCAACTTTCTTTCCTACATGTGTTTCATAAGTTGCTTCCCCTAGGAAAAATGAACAGTTTAAATTGTTCTCTGTTGGTCACTCAAAGTAGAGCATCAGCTTGGTCAGGACCTTTTGTCCTGTTTTTCTTTCTGTACCTCACGGAATTGCATTTATTAGACTGAGATTTACTGCTTTTTGTATTCATAGGACTGTGCTAAAGAATAATGACTTGAGATCAAGACAAGAATTAACTACTCACCTCACCAATCAGTGGCCTTCCCCAGGAGCTCTGGATGTCAATGCTGTTGCCTTGGACACTCTACTCTATAGAAAGCACAATCAACAATGGGATGAGTAAGTTGAATATTTATTTTGATTTGCCTTTAGAGGAATAGGGAAAACTCAAAATTACACATTTCCCTTAGCATACTCTGAAACGTATCCTGTTGGAACTACCTGTTACAATATATGAGGGTCAGCTGGCAGGAAAAGAAAAAAAAGAACAAAACAGTTTCTGTTGCTTGTCATAAAAATTTCCTTCCTTTAAATAAATTTGGAGGAAAAAAAACCCAACAAACACACACATAAACAAAAAGGAAATAATTGCTTTAGGGAGAAAACAAAAAGAAACAGTGTCTTTAAGAGAGGAGAGATGAGCTGCCTACTTTGTTTTGTTTTGTATTTTTAAAACCAACAACTTTTAAAGAAGAAATGAGGATGTCTGCTTAGATCCTTAAATGTGTTACTATTAAATATTACTTTATTTGCAGGAAAAGTTTTCAAAGTTTGGATCAACTTTCTGCAGAAGTTAGTCTTTCTCAGTCCTCTCTGGACCCAGGTCACTCACAGGATGGGAAGCAGGATGGAATGAACTTGTTAAATGAAGGTACAGAGCCAGTTTAGTGGCTTCCTTTAGTTATGTTCTTCATAACTCTTCAGTCCCTGAGAGATGATTTTCAGTGTGAACACCCTATGCTTTGAACAGCATGGGGTTTTATTGTTACGGAAGTTTTTTCAGTTTCCCTAAGGACTACACTTCAAGTAAGTTTGGATTTATGAGGATGCTTCCCCTCAATAATTGTAAGACTTCATGCTGTATTTAAAGCTAAACTGAAAATACATTGCATATCTTCCCTCCCCATCACAGAAGCAGAGACAGCTCAGCTACAAGGAGGATCTTCTGTTGTCTTTCTGCTCTAACACAAACCTTTTGATTTCCTTAAGTTTCCTTTTTTGTTTCTTAAAAGAAAGATTAAAGGCACTGGATTTATAAGTGCCACTGTCATTCTTACATCTTGCATTCAACATTTATCTGTGGAGATGCAGCTTGACAGTGTTTCTGGTAAAATGGAGAGAGGTCCATGCTAGTATATAAATGTAACACACACACACACACCCCCCTTTCAAAATCTGCACCTGTATCAAAGTTTAGCTGCTCCATCTTGTGGGTAAATGTGAAAAGCAGAAAAATGCTGGAAGACTTCAGAAACAGTAGTATTTTGGGTACAGAACATAAATTGTAAAAAAATCCTTCTGTTATCAAATGTTAACTTTAAATAGACTTGACAATACAGGGCCTTAGGAGTTCGTAACTGTAACTTTAAAATATCAGCATTTAAAATTTAGTTTTAAGGTGATTTTCTATTCTGTAGGTGAGCCAGGACGATGAAATAGGGAGATGCTGGCAGATCAAATTCTTTATAATGTGATTTATTGCGGAGTTGGCGCAAAATAACTGAAATGGATATTCTGTGAAGACATAAAATAGAGGAATTGTCCAGTGCAGACTTACACCTAATAAGTATGTTTAATGTTAACTCTCAAGTGTATTTGGATGACAGGGCAGATACTTGCACCGCCACTCCTGCACTGTAGGGCTTTTTCTCAGTGGTCGGAGACTAATGCACTTCAAATCACCAAGGTTTAGAAAACAAGACATGTTTATTTTCAAAGAAATATATCCTGATTCTAGTTACTCCTTTATGAGAAATTTAAAACTAGGTCTTTCATACTGACATGTTAGGAAGGTCACTTCAATTTCTATATAATGCATTTGGTGCTTGAATTGGACCCTTCTGTTCCCCATATCATCTCTGGAGCCTCTGAATGTCCTTCTATAGGAGCCTGGCCTCAGCCCAGCCTGCAGTGCACAGCTGGGGATCTCTGCACTTGAGCAGGGAAGGTGTGGCATAAACTACACGTCTTTCTCATGGCACTTATGAAGTATGTGTGTGCTGAAGCAGTAGTGCACAATTCATAATAATGTAGGTGGACCATTTTTTTTTCTATTCCCACATCTTTTTTGTGGTCAGATCATCTTGTGCTATACGAATCATTAGCTTAATTCTTGTTTTTCTTAACAGGGAAGGAAGACACTCCATCATTGCTTGGTCTTTGTGGCTCTCTTACATCAGTAGCAAGCTACAAATCTCTCACAAGTCTGAAATCGAGTGAATATCTTGCAAGTCCCACAACAGAGATGACAAGTCCGGGCTTAACTCCATCATGAGATACACACAAGATGGAAGACCTTTCTGTTGTATGCATTTGGTTTATGTTCTGTCAAATGACTTGCAATGAGGACTGCTGGTTCTGAGTTAACATATAAGTTGCTTTATTATTTCTCTCCATGGTTATCTATTTAATTCACAAATTCTGTCAGTTTTCATTCCCTTTTTTTCCCCCCCAGAGGACTTCTCAGATTTTCTATTACTCAGAGTTACTTAAAGCTAGTACAGTTACTTAAAGTCAGGTACAGGACATATAATCTGATGCTTATGACTGTTTTTTAAATAAAACAGTTGGAAATCAGTCCCCTACTTAACTGCCAAGACCTTTGTTTCTCCTTGCAATGGCCTGGCCCTACTCTAGCCATGGTGCTTTTCTGCAGTGCTTTAAATATCTATCAACTCTTGCAGAACAGACAGGGGATCCTAAACACTAGACTTTGTAGGCAGATATTTTACCTAAAAACCCAGCTTTTCATCTCTGTATGTTGCGTAGGTCCTCAAATAGCTTATTTAACCTATCAACAGCTCTTCTCGAGTTCACTCAGTGTCAGACTTTGCATTTCTGTAGCATCATGGCACTAAGGAGATGTCCGAATCGCACTGAGGACTCACACTGAAACACTCTTACTAATTCTTGAAGTTGCATGTGAATAACAAATGTAAGTTGATCATATATGATAAATGAGGTATACTTCGCAATTCACAAATGTTGAGAAAACTCGCTAAATGCTTTTGAGTGACCTGAGTTAGATAATCAAACATCATATGAGAAATTTCTTGGTTACCTTGCTGGAAAGATGGGGACTACAGGGGCAGGGCTAGCACCTTGGGAAGCTTGGATTGTGTGTTTATTGGCAAGGTCCCAAGGAGAGTAGAAAATAGGGAGCAAAGAGAATGTAATGACAGTGTTCTCATTTTAAAGGATTTTTCTCATTCCTGTAGTAGTGCAATAGGTATTTTTCTTGATTAGGTAACACGGCAGAACTTCCTTAAGTCAGTTTTCTCGGATTCTTTGCCATTGATTTCAATTACTGATGGGGTGGGGGGAGCAAACAGGGAGACATTTTTTAAATGAACCAAACTTCCCAGATTTCCCTACAGCTTACAAGTTTGCAAATTAATTTTTTACTTGCAAACTGTATTCTTAATTCTTTGTAAGATACAATGGATCCTTTCGCTATGGATTTTGCTAATCGAGTAACGCTTATCAGTACGGTAACTTTTTAAAGAGAACTTCAATGCATGTAAGTACGTTGTATTTATAAGTGCTAGGGAAAATGCTTTTTTTGTGCCAAAGAAGAAGTTTCATAAATTGTTTACATGAGTAGCTGCAATACAGGACAGATTTTTAATTATTGCATACTCTTAGGTGTTTACACTCTGTCTCTACACTCTGTTTGGTTTCAGTTGATTTGCCTGTTGTAACGGTACCTTGGCACTACTACTGTAATCTGGTCATCTTGGCGTGGGCTTGAAAGAGGATTCATTCTTACCTTTACTGAAACTACAGGACATGTTCAGCCTGTATAGGTGTGAGGCTCCGCACCTCTGGGACTCGGGCACTGTTTGATTTAGCTGGAGAAAGATAAAGAGCCATCTCAACTCTCTAGTCCACAGTGCTGGACATTGCAGCAGCTGTGGTGGAATAAACCATGACTGGTGCCATTTCAGTGCAGCTTTTTAAAGCATCTTGGCAAAGCCCACCAAACCTTGTCCTTCAAGCCCTCACGTACCCACCTGGTTGATTTCTCTGTACTCAACTGACCATTTAATGCTTTCATACACTGTCAGAATGTCCATTACCTCACGTAAATTTGAGGTTTTGTTATGACATTAAGCACTTGTTCTTTCATGGCAGTTGAGTAGTGTTATTAAATGCCAATCTGTAAACTAGAGATGTATTTTTACTACAAACACAGTGAGGGACTCCGGATTCCACGAGTTAATGTTCTGCATCAAGATACAGTGAGCTGATCGGTTCTCATTCACTGTTCAGCACTTTCCCCACTGTGTCAGCATTTTGGAAGGGACTGTGATCATGATCTTCAGTCATGTCTGCTGATGGCTCTTTTCTTGGAGCTACTGGTGTGAAATTCATGTGTCATTTAACGGGAGTCTTCTGTGTAGTTCCTGGGTGTCATTTGTGCATGGGAAATAATCTTGTGTGTCTTTCTCAGTTTGAACATGAATCATTTTTAAAAAAGATTGAAAAACAAATGCCAAACTGTATGTTTTGTTGCCTTGACGTTCCATGAATGTTGCATGTAAATTAAACATTTTTGTATCATTGCTGATTACTGGTTTTTGTTTGATCTCACTTTATGTGATTAAAACATTCGACAAACAACAGCATGACTAACCTTATAGCAAATTCTGTCTTGCACAACAGGGAGACTTTGGGTTTGCTGCTGTATGTCATTCAGTGTGATCCGAAACCTGGTGTTAGTGCTGGCTTTCTCTTGGGCCTTATTTTGAGCTTTGAGTATAAACTAAGTTTGAGAAATCACAAGAGGGGAACAGTGTCAGGTACCTCCCATGGCAGGACCTCTTGCGGGCACCGTGTGCCAGAGCCTGTCCCTAACCTCTTCACAACTGCAGCGTTTTTCAGCATGTGGTGAATGTTCACCAGTGCCAGACACATGCTGGGACACCTTCTTCATAGGGGAATAGGACTGAAGTCTATTTCTTGGGTAAAGCACACCCCAAAGTTGGTGTTTTAGTGACCTGACCACTGAGTTGCTATTGTACCAGCACCCCTTATGAAAATATGCACAGATATAATTCAGCCACTTCACTGGAAGATATGAAAAAAGCAATGCAGTGAGGGTGGTTGAAGAAGAGAGGAAAGAAAGAGGGTAGTTAAAAAATAATAATGATTAAAAATAATCCTGCAGAGAAAGCTCTGATGCAGTAGGTCAAGTGCTGGGGGCGGTTGTTCCAGCCATGCAGGTGTACCACACTGTCACAGGCAACAGCCACAGTAGTAACCACGTGCTCTTTTCTGCAGGCAGATGTATGGCTGAGTCACACTGGCATGAACCATCCTTACCTACCCCAGGAACGATGGCCTTCAAAACATGGTGCTCCCTCCCAAGCTGGGGGTGAGGGATGCTTTCTGGCATGGGGCCTGGCGCTGCTGTGGAGCTCTGTGACCTCCCAAAGCCATGCATGGGCATGTTCTTCCAGACAGGCACTTGTCTCCAGTTCCTGTGTGAGCTTTCAGTTCTTAAGAGTAATGCCTTAAGCTAAAAAGCCACTGTGGCACTTACTTACCAACGTATTCACCATCCTCTTGGGGTTTCTAAGGAGTAGTGTGCTGCTTTTAGTTTTATCTAAAGCATCTTTCATTTTAAATATACCTGAGAGGAAGCTGAGGACTATTTTGCAATACACATTTACACAAAATACAGAGCTGCAAATAACAACCATGCACAGAATCAAACATCCATTAAGCAAAACAAATTTTTATTGAATTCATTCTGTATCAACCTCCTTATGGAGGAGTAATCATATCATACAATTTTCTAAACCTCATTTTAAATACCTAACAACAATTTTTAGTTGGACTGAATATTAACACAGCGGCAGTGGTTATTCCTTATTCAGTCCAGTCTCTTTTTCCCTTTTAACCATCACTGAAGAACAGTCAGCATCTGTTTTATTTTCTCATTTCTATTTCCATCTAGTGGCAAGAGAAGTCACAAAGTCTTCACTGATAAGTTTGTCATGATTATGTTCTTAGTCTTAAAAGTGAATTTATCCTTTGTGTCAAAAATGAAGTTGTATTTGTTACCAAATGTAATGACAGGCGTTCACTGGGAGTTCTAGAAAATGCCTTCACATATTCAAATTTGGCAGAACTTCCATCCTGTATTTTGACTTCATACAATCAGATGAAGTAGAATTAAGGATGTTGGCTCATTTTTCCATTTAAATGAGAAAAAAAAGACTTTCCATATTCATATGTGCTGATCATTATGGCACATGCAGGAGCAACTTTAAACAGCCGTGGAATAATACCAGCCCAGAAAAGAAAAGGAAAGCGTTCACTGTCATTTGTTTTCAGACTCCTTTCAGGTAGTTGCAGAGTCATAAGGTTCCCCCTCAGCCTTCTCCAGGTTAAACAACCCCAGTTCCCTCAGCCATTCCTCATCAATCAATCTGACTTGTGCTCCAGGTCCTTCACCAGCTTCAAGTCCATTGTACCTCTGCCCCCTCTGTCTCTCCAGGGAGGTAGAGCCCCTTGACTTGCTCTAGTGCAGCTCAGATGGCTGGGGGGCGCAGACTGTGTGCCCCGTCCTCTGCCTGTCACTGCAAACCTGCTGCTCCTGTGGGATAAAGAGAGGCTTGTGACCACACAGGTGGGACAAGAGGTTCGGGAAGTCCTGAACCCTGAATTGGATAAAAGCCGGGGAGGAAAGGCTAGACTACTGTGCTGGGCTGTACCCTCTGCTGTAGGCAGTGGCTCAGCCCTTCAAACCAACTGCTGAGTAAAAGTGTGATTTCTCTACTACTATCTCTTAAGTCCCACAGCACCTCTACTAACATGGAAGAATCCTGGTCCCAAGGTTAAACAATAGAATGTGGGCATCAAGTGTTTCCTGCTGCAATCAACTGTGATCCTGTCAGTGGAGTTTAAAAAGTTTAACTAGAGGTGGGAAAATAAGGCTGAATCCACTTGCTTACACATAGTCATCTACTCTCACTTGGAACACAAAGGCATCTGCAAGTAGCTAGCCTGGATGATGCATGGCCTACGGAAAACTTGTGTCCTTTTGGAAGAGTAGCAAGAAGCCAGGCAAAATACCCCCAGTCACCTCACCTATGTGTGGGCAACAGAACTGGGATAGTGCTGATCAAGAGAACATCTCTACACTCATGTGTCAATACCTAAATGTAGGTAACAATCTGTGAACTAAATTCCATCCAAAATGTTTAGTAATACTGAGTGATGTCTTGCACTCCGCTGGCATCAGTGCTCCAAAACATGCAAATACTATTACCCAGCTACGGCATCACTGTACAGCAAGTAAAGCAATTTCATCTCTTTCAAAGAACACAAGTCTTACAAGTCTTCATCCAACTGTGTAGCCATTCACATACAGACCCCCCAAGAAACCGATGCAGTGCTGTCAAGACACTAAGTATCCTGGGCTTGGAATGTCTGTTGCAGTGGTTTGTTTAATTATGAACTACTACAGGCTTTTATCTCACTATAATTTTAATCTCAATATCTTGTAATTTTCTCCTCAGACTGCTGGAGTCACTCATGACAACACGTGTGCATTATAAAGGAGCTCTGTGCTGGCAACACAGTATTGCCCCAGCCATTCAACAGAACAGGGTAACTGCCTCACCTGTCTGCCAGACTTGCTGAAGACAGAAAGACATGGGAACCCTACAGCCCAACAGAAGGGTATGGGAGGGCAGCTGAGTGACAAATACCAGCTAAGTAAGGAATCTTAGGGAGATGAGCATCTGGAGGTGGGCACACAGGCTGCCAAGAGCACTTTGTGACGATAAGCATTTTATATACAGTCAAGGTTGAAGTTTTAATTGCCAGTTGCCATACACAGAAAGATATCTGAAAACAAAACACTTTAAGACCAGTCTAGTTAAAAAGTGATATGGGGTCTTAGCCTGGTGATACTTGGGCTAGTAAATTATTGATAGAGCTACCTGAATGTATGTATTCAATAAAGGCAGTTTCACCCCAGGTAAAGATCTGGTTTTGTTTGATGAATGATAGTAGTTTCTCACAAAAAGATACGAACCAGTAATTAGAATTCCTGGGGATGCCTAATCAGCTTGAACCTTCACACTGTGAACATTCATTTGCACTGTCACATGAGGCTGGAAACTTACTCTCTCAGTTCTGTCACATGCAGCAGCAATCCCAGACTGCCTCTGTCCATACCCTGGTACACAGGGTGGGGAGAGCAGCATATACCTGAACTATAAAAATACCTTTGGTTTTAGTTACCAATTGGCAACTAGAAACACAAGTCGCCTTCTGTGGCTATGAGGACAAAATGGATGAGAATACAAGAACTCTTCTTTCTGGGAAAACAAATCCTTTCTTCCTGTTTTGCTTGTCAGAGCAAGCCAAGTAGAAACCTGTGACAGAAGACTAGCAGGATCCATCATAGCTGCTGCCAAATATCTACAAATCTGTGAAAAAAAAATCCATGTTGTTCTCCAAGAGAATATTCTGGGATATGGCTTAATGTACCGTGAATGACTGAAATGACTGGTGATTACTTCATAAGGGAGTCAAACTTCTTTTGTAAATACAGAAGTGGAAGATTCCCTGAAAGATGTTAACATTTAAAAGAAATCCTCAGTTTCAGGATGAGGTAACAGTGAGGGGCTTGCATCTGTCTTACATCTTACATCTTTCCTACCTCTCGTATCACGCTTGCTCACAGAGTGCCTGTTCTGCCCAGGACAGCTTCATTATGAAATGGAAAAAAACCTCCTAAGCCTCCCGAGGTCTCAGGAGCTTTGTGATCAGTCCTCGCTGCCAAGAATCATGATACAATTGAGCCATAATGACGAAAAGGAGGAACAGAACTTCCTGTTGGACCTCTCAGGAAAACAGGAAAAACTTACTGCTGTAAGTTTTGAGTTAGTACCAGGAATTCGGTCATATGATGAGGTAGGGCCCAGAGAGTTGCTTTCAGAGAGATGCTAGGATTTGAAAGAGACATCAGAAGGTATTCCTGAAGGGTTCTCTTCTGTTCTATGAGGGGTTAAATGGCCAAGATTTCTTATGATGGTCAGGGATACATCTGTGCTGGTCAACAGTAGAAAAAACTACTGCATATAGTCCAGGGCTAAAAAGTGGTGTCTGCCAAAGCTATCAGAATCTCTAAAACCAAGTCTTTACGACAGTCTGTGCAAGAAGGATTAAATACATCAAGGAGTTACACTGCATCATAGATGGATGGAGTCTATCCTAGGCCAAGTATTCCACAGGCCAGTAACCGTATTTTATTATGTGAATTCTACTCTTTTCTATTCTCAGACTTCTTGGGTTCTCCATACTGCATCTTCTTCAAAGACAAACAGAAAAATACCACTGAAGCTAAAGCTCTGTTTCTGAGACAGAAAGAACCAAAAAAAGTTAAGTACACAAATTAGTATGAAATGAAGAACAAAAATTAGGCTAGCTATTCCTAAATACAGGTGGGCAAATGCAATGGTAATGACTGCTTTGACATTTTTAGCACTGGACCAAAAACCGCATTTAAGAAATTTTCTGTCTAGAAACACCTCCTTACTTCAGTTTCCAAATCTGCAATCCATTACATTTCCTTTGTACATGTTCTTTCTGAAACACCCAAGCACTGCAGTTTAAGAAATCAACAAGTTGCTTAAACTTGAAACCTGTTTCCTGAAACCTATTTCCTTAAACTTGAAACCTATTTCCTGAACTGAACCTTTTCCCACCATTTTTCATTGCCAATACACCTCTATTTGTTAATCCCAGTCCTTTTATTTTTTACCTAAATCATGTCCATCTTGGACAGCTGTAGCTTAGTAACTTGTGAAGAGATTGTCAAAATTCTCTCAGGATATATACATCTGTTGCTTTACATATGCAAACTATTCTGTAACTCACAGTGTTTCCAGAGCTCGAAATATTGTATAATTTATGCATGTTAACAGCTATAACAACTTGTTAATGACTTAAAAGCTCTCTCTCTACTCTGAATTGGTTTACAGATATGAAAAGATTTACCAGCAAATAATCCAGTGATCCCATTTTTAGAGACAATTTTCCTCCTAACTGCCCAGGTCGATGTACTGTCCCTCTGTGGAACTCAATGCAGTACAAGAAAACAGTGAATTAAGTAATATATACAATGCCATAAAAGAGTATTTTTAGAAAGCAGAGACAGTCATAGATGTAATTATTAGGCTTAATTAATTTTAATTTTGTCCATACAGGATATTAAATTCATAAAATATGCAAATTCATAAAATGCTTAAAATATCATGACAGAAAACCCTGTAGTAACACCTGGAGTAAGATACAAGAACAGAGACAATATTCCTTACTAAAGTACTGATATAGCTGGAAAAAGTCACCTAGCTTTCAAACGACCCAGTCGCTCTCATTGTCACGCTATACGTGTAGCTAAATGCTCATTGCAGTTCAGATACTTAAACAAGAACTTGTCTTTATGGTAAACTGAGTCTGAAGGTAAGTTCCCCTGAATGTATTTTAAGAAATTAAACTTTTGCCTATTCAAATATAACTTGTTTCAATCATAGAATCATTTTGCTTGGAAGGGACCTTTAAATATCATCTCGTCCAACCTGCCTGCAAAGAGCAGGGAGATCTTCAGTTTGCAATTGGTCTCCCTAAATGTAATAGCTTTGAATTTTTTGTTTATATTTTATGCCATCTCACTAAACTAAATAGTACTGAGCTCACACCTTCTCCCTCCTCCAAGCCATTACTGAAATACTGTATTTATCCTAGAAGGTAAAAATATCCTATGAAATTTGGAGTAGAAAAGATGTCAGCGCTAGTATTTTTTAGATAAACTTTAAAGGAAAAAAAATAGATATTTAAAATTCCTACCAAAAGTCTATATGCCAAAACACTACATTCACTTTTTCCAGACATTATGGTTTTTTTATCCTTACCAACACTTTTTAAAGTCTCGCACTCCCAGTCTGCCTTGTGTTTTCACTACATCAAATGGCAGAGTTATGACAGATGCAATCTATCAGGAAAATAGAGCAGTTTTAATGTTAGAGCACAAAAAATTAACATTCAATTAATTTTTTACAAAATTAAAGTACACACAATTTAAAACTAGATTGAAAATTCCAAGTGTCTGACATAATTAAAAGTCTTGTATTTCAGAACACTGTAATTTATTCAGATATACCTAATCAGCTTAAATGCCAGGTATGGGTGTTTAAAGCACATGCACCCCAAAACCATCAACACTTCTGTGAGAGCCAGGTAAAATCATACCAATTTTAAATAGTATATTAGCGACAGATATATAAAAGAGTACAACTGTGTCGACACGGGAGTCACGGACAACGCAGAAACGATCAATGTGATCAGCAAATGCCAATTTATTACAAAGCCTTAACCCCTTATATACTGTTTCTTACATGCACTTACAGTGATTTGGCATATTATGATAGGATACATGTCTTGAAGCCCCTTAATGACTAACATATAATTGGTTAAGCACAGGTGTGAGAATTGGACCTCGAAAGCTTGCCAACAGTCCACAGTTCTCATAACTCAGTGAATTCCAGCTTCTTCTTATCTTGCTTGCTTGAGCTTCCTCGGGCCTCTCGTGGCCTTGCTGTATCTTTCAGGATTATTCAGTTTATGTACCAATTATCCATTCTCCTGTGAGAACACTGCCTCCACACAACTAGACATAAAAATACATACTTACAGAGCCAGATGCTGCTCCCTAAGCAAAAGCAATAAAAATGTTGGCTCGTGAGTACCAAGTTCCTTGCACAGGATCTTATTGAAATGTTCATAAATATACCAGTACGTTGCTGTGGTTATGAAAAGATAAAACTGCATTACAGCACATTTGTATGTCACATACAGAAATTCTTTTATCAAATACAGATATAAGAATTCTACTGTGGAAACAGGAGCAAAAAGAAACGTGCTGAAACCAAAATAAAAGTGTTTTTGTGATGATCCATGGACAGACTGCCTTGTTCCTCTTATCTTTATATTCCAGAATTACTCATATGATACGATCAAGACTTAATACTGAAATGTATGAAACCCTGACTTTATATAAATTGCCTAAATAAGAAACTTTGCATCAGAGCCTGTAGGACTCATTTTACTGTGTAACATTTACATTTATGTCCTCCACATAACTGCTTAAAGAATGACTTGAGCATTATTGTTAGAATCAGCTGTGCCTGGGATTGCTCTGACCCAGGTGTAGGACCTTGCACGGGGCATAGGCAGCAGTCAGGAAGGCGTTGCATTCAAGTAGTAGTACAAGAGGTAAACCCCCAAACCAGACACATGAATGTTAACACAAGGAAATACCTAAACGCCCTCTGCTACAAACATTGCCCTATGTAACAAATGCCCAAGAGATTTCTTGAATTCTCCTTTCCAAGACCTCACCATAGGCAGTGTAGTAGCAAATGCCAGTTGGTGTATTGATAAGGACTGGTGAGGAAATGCTGCATGCTCTCTACGTTTCTGCAGAATTCATGCAAATGGAACCCAAACCCCTTTCCTTTCTCCTTTGGGATCACCACACTCAACTGACTGTACGTGCTATAAAAGCCTTTACGGATACAGTATGAACATAGAGATTTATTTACAGGGACACCCCACAGCGATGCCCAATGTGTGGCCACCATGGGCAGGGACATCCCCCTGGGCCTCCTGGGCACAGGCACTGCCTCCGGGCCAGCACCCCAAAGGCCTTTCTCCAAGGGATGCTGGGTGAAGGGGCAGCAGCAGCAGGTCTGCAGTGGGCAGGGCTGCAGGGCCCCGTCACCCCCTGTGTCATAGTGCCAGCACCCGGCCACGCAGCATTACAATGCTCTGGGGCAGTACGAGTCCAGTGCCCTCCCCTGCCCCACTGCCAGAGTGCCCGGCGCTGCCACCAGGACAGAGCTGGAAGCCTGAGGCCATCCCAGAGGCAGTCCTTGGGGCACTGGGGTAATTCCTGGCAGGGGGGAGGGGGTTAATGGGGGCAACCCTTGAAGCTGCACGAAGCTGCAGGAGGTTCTGTGCTGCACTTCCAGCTCCTGGAGGGGCCATGCTCAAAGCTCATCGGGTGGATGGATGGAGGGATGGACGCATAGATGGAAATCCTGCCTCAGTCACTGGGGAGCTGGCCGTCCTCATCTCCTGGGCACCAGGGAATTAGGTGAGGGGGGGACTAAGGGAGGGAACACCTGAAGCTGCGAAGCTGCACGAGGTTCTGTGCTGCGGTTCCAGCTTCTGGAGGGGCCACGCTGAAAGCATCATTGAGGGATCCTGCTTTAGTTGTCAGGGAGCTTGACGTCCTCACCTCCAGGGGAGAGAGAGGCAGTAGCCAGAAGAAAAAGGATGCCCAGGCGGCTCAGTGCCCTCCCCCACTGCCAAGCACAGGAAGGATTCGTGCTCCGAGGATTCATCAGGCCAATGGCATTTTGGTGTTGTTGGAAGCCCTTGAGATGGCTTCAGGTGGAAGCAGAAAAAGCAGAGCCAGTGTCCCCTTGTCCCCTTAAGAGGCGTAACCAGCCCGTGGACCGGGAGCAGGTCTTGCTCCCGTGCTCAGGGAGTAACCGATTGCCAGGGCTGGGGTCAGGAAGGAATTTTCCCCCGGGGCAGATTGGCACCGGTCCCTGTGAGTTTTTTGCCTTCCTCTGAGCACTGAGCATGACCACTTGTCAGGGCTCCTCTGGTCCTGGTGCTCTGCGTTATCACCTGGTGCTTATGCACCACGAAGGCGGCCCCTCGTGTCCTGCAGCTGGGGGGGGGAAGGCTTTTTTCCCCCAGGTTGGACTCGCAAGCGTCCTCGGTTTTTTTTGCCTTCCTGGAGAATCTGCTCCAAGACTGCCAGGCACAGAGGTGAGACTGACTGCTCTGTGGTTCCCTGGGTTAGTTTCTCCTTCTTAAAAATGGGGGGTATATTTCCCTTTTTTCCAGTCATCAGGAACTTCACCTGACTGCCATGATTTTTCAAATATGATGGACAGTGGCTTAGCAACTTCATTTGCCAGCTCCTTCAGGACCCACAAATGCATTTCATGAGGTCCCATGGACTTGTGTACGTTCAGGTTCTTAAGATGGTCTCAGACCAGATCGTCTCCTACAGTGGGCCCAAGGTCTTCATTCTCACTGTCCCTGCATCTGTCTTCCAAGACCTGGGTGGTGTGGTCAGAGCATTTGCCAGTGAAGACTGAGGCTAAGAAGCAATTCAGAACCTCAGCCTTCTCCAAATCCAGGGTAGCCAGTTCTCCCGACAGCTTCTAGAGGGGGCCTACGCTGTCCCTAGTCTGTCTTTTATTCGCTACGTACCTATAGAATCCCTTCCTGTTATCCTTAACATCCCTAGGCAAGTTTAATTCTAACTGGGCCTTAGTTTTCCTAACCTGGTCCCTAGCTTCCCGGACAACATCCCTCTATTCTTCCCAGGCTGCCTGTCCTTGCTTCCACCTTTTATAAGCCTCTTTTTTCATTTGGATTTTCCTCAGCAGCTCCTTATCCATCCATGGAGGTCTCCTGGCCCTCCTGCTGCATTTCCTTCTAGGTGGGATACAACACTCCTGAGCTTGCTGTAGTTGATCCCTGAATATCAACCAACAGTCTTGGGCCCCCCTGCCCTCCAGAGCTATATCCCATGTAACTTTAGTAAGCAGTCTCCTGAAGAGGCCAAAGTCTGCTCTCTTGCAGTCCAGGGCAGTGAGCTTGCTGGACGCTCTTCTCACTGTCCTGAGGATCTCTTCGACCAGCTCGTGATCGGTGCAACCAAGGCTGCTCTGGAGCATCACATTTCCAAAAAGCCCTTCCCTGTTGGTGAGCACGAGGTCAAGCATGGCACCTCTCCTCGTTGGCTCCTCTGTTACTTGCAGAAGGAAGTTGTCTTCCACACAATCGAGGAACCTCCTGGATTGCTTGTGCCGGGCTGCACTGCTGCTCCAACAGATACGAGTGGTGGAAGTCCCCCATGAGAACAAGGGCCTGTAAGCGTGAGGCTATTCCTATGTCTACAGAGTGCTTCATCCACAGATTCCTCTTGATATAGGTGGTCTGTAACAGATCCTCACAGTAATGCCCCCCATAGCTGTTCTCCCTTTAACCCTGACCCACAAACTCTCTGCTGATTGCTCACCCGTCCCCAGACAGAGCTTGATACTCTCCAGCCTATCCCTAACATAAATAGCAGCTCCCCCTCCCCGCCTGCTGGGCCTGTCTTTTCTAAAGAGCCTGTAACCTTCCATTCCAACACTCCAGTCATAGGAGCCATCCCACCATGTTTCTGTGATGCCTATTGTATTATACCCCTGTAGATGTGCACACATCTCTAACTCCTTTTGTTTGTTCCTTGTGCTACAGGTGTTTGTACAGAGGCATCTGAGCCGAGCTCCAAATGAAGCCAGCTCATTGGCTGGAATATCTCTACATTGCTCTGAGCATTTATTAACAGGTGCTGGCAACTGACTGGGAGTGTTGGGATGGAATGATGCCCCCCTCCCCCAACACATCTAGTTTAAAGCTTTCTTGACCAGCCTGGCAAGCCTCCTACCAAAACTGTTCTTCATTGCCAGATCAGCTCCATCAGCCCCCAGTAGACCTGGCCTACTAACTTGGGTCCCATGTTCAAGACACCCAAACCCCTGACTATGACACCACCCTTCTAACCATTTATTAACCTGGCTAATCCTCCTAGCTTTTTTTAGGTCCTCCCCTTTATCCTGGAGAATTGACGAAAAGACTGTCTGAGCTCCAGAGCCCCTGACCACCTCTCCCAGGGCTCTGTAGTCCTTCTTTGTGCTCTCTAGGCTACTGCTGCCTGTATCCCTAGCACCCACATGGATCACCAGGAGTGGGTAATAGTCAGTGGGACTTACTAGAGCAGGCAGCCTCTCTGCCACATCCCTGATCCGTGCCCCTGGTAGGCAACACACCTCCCTTGAGACCGGGTCAGGGCGACAAATGAGCGCTTCTGTCCCTTTCAAAGGAGAGCCCCCTGCTACTACGACCCACTGCTTTTTCCTGGCAGCACCAGTAGAGATCTTCTTTAGCAGTGCCCCAGCCAGTTGTTTCTGGTGTGTGTTTCCTCATCAGTCCCCTGCAGGACAGCAAAGCGGTTCTGGGTGGGGATAATAGATTTAGGAGGAAGCCCCATGCTTTTAATTGGCCTCTTCACCTTTTTGTTGTTGTTTGGGTTTTTTTTTGTTGCTGTTTCCCAGCTTCCCGGGTTAATGAGCTCCTTCTTTCCTCCATGAGCTACAGGGGACGCTTGAGGCCCTTGCACAGTTTGGGCCTGGAGCAAGCAGTCCTGCTTCCTTTCAGCTTCCCTGACATCTTGCAGCCTATTAGTAGCATCCTGCAGCTCAGGACCTCCACCAGGGAACACCGGGTGCAGCCCTGCCCATTGTGCACCCTTCCCTCACCAGACCAGTGCAGGCACTCTCTACACTCCGAGCTCTGCACTGCAGTCTCTCCTCTCATAGGCTCTGTCTGGGTGCCTATGCTGGCCACCACCGGGGCAGCCAGAGCAGAACTCCCAGACCGGGGCCTGGTCATATGGTGAGTGCTCACCATCCGGCTCGCCCTGGTCACTTGCACTCCTTGGGGCAGGTTTTTAACCAGTCAGGGCTGGTGCTGCTCCTCCTGGGGCTCCACCCCATGTGAGCTTGCATCAGCTGAGCTGATGGCTCCTGGGCAGGTCCTGTCGAGGACTTGAGGCTCCCTCAGTGGCTCTTGCTGCTCTGAGTTGAGGCTCCTGGATGCTAATCTTCCTCCCACTCAGGTGCTGAAGGTGTCTTCTCTTGAGCTACTCACCTCAGCAATTGCTAACCCAGTTCTTGTGCTTAGAAACATTCACAGCTTAAGTTTTATTCAGTCTAGGTAGCCTCCCATGGAATATGCTTGAAGCGTACCATTCACACTCGGGCTACTAACACAGTGGGATTTTAACTGCCTTGTGTTACTTGAGTCATGCTGTGCTGCTTGACTGCTTTCACAGAGGAGCTGCTTTGTCAGTACCAATTGTTACACTGATTTTAATCCCTCTTTAAAGACCTAACTTCAGCTAACTATAGCAAAGGCGCAGACTGTGCTGTAAGAATACCAGAAGACATGATGCTGTTGAGGCATCATTTAAACTGAAGAGCCAAAATAAAAGGTATTGAGGGAGCATATCTTAACCTCACAGGGAGTATTTATAAGCAAAAAGTTACCAGAAAACACATTTGGGAAAGGCATTAAGCAGCATCAAACACCATTAGCTTTATAGCATCTGAGCTTTGTGGCATTTTTTTTTAATGCATTTGCCTTTACTGATGCATCTCATTGCCTGCTCGCTTCTGGTTCTTCAACAATAGACCTAAACCTTTAAAGCAGTAGCTTCAGGTTAACCTGTACCTTTACTTTTCCAGCATCCCAGAATGCCTTTGAAGTACTGGGCACAGACAAGTGCCCACTGGGTATGAAGTGAATGCTAGAGCAGTACAGGACTAACTTAAAATCTATGAGCATGTTTTGGACCAGTGAAGCAAAAGCAGGCATGGATGAAAGAATAAAAAAGTCTGAGAACAGACACACACCATCTTAGTGCCCTTTTCCTTGCGCACTCCCTCACAGTGCTCCGATCTTCCCCCTCTGTTAAAAGCAGTCGCGGGAATGAAGATCACTAGCTCCTGCCACATTGCTACAAAGACCAGTAAGAGAATAGGAGTTGCTACTTGAAATCAGACAACAGGACTTAGATGAAGAATTTTAAGTTCCCTTATAAGCTTAACAGAACAGCCTAAGATGCAATTGGCAGAGAAGAGTTAAGCAAATTTTAAAATGAATATTCAACAGGAAGTACTTTGGACAAAAGGTTCAGATGAATCCTTACAGTTATCTTTAGCCTTAGAGAAACCATGCTGCCTTAGGTTCAGAAGCCTTCCCTATCACAGAAGGATAAATTAATTCCCTTTAAGGGACAGGACCCCTAAGCAGGAGATACAGTCTGTTGTGGTTTAAACCCAGCCAGGCAGCTCATTTACTCACTCCCAGTGAGTGGTGCCAGGCTGGAAGCAGTCGAGGCCCGCGTCCCCACCCTAAACCCCGGGGGCTCTCATCTTCCCTGCTCCTGGAGGGATGCGGAGGAGAATCGAAAGAATGCAACTCCCACAGGCTGAGACAAGAACAGTCCAGCAACCAATGTACAACACAAATCACCACCATTACCACTAATGACAACAATGACAAGAGAAAATAACAAGGGAAGAGAATAAGATACCACCCACTGAAAAACGAGTCCGACCCAGAAGCCCCCATGTCCTTCTGGGTAACTCCCATTTCTCCCCTACCCCAGGCATGATGTGCTGTGGTATGGAATGCCTCTTTGGCTAGCTTGGGTCAGGTATCCTGTCTCTGCTTCTTCCCGGCTTCCCCTCCTCCCTGGCAGAGCATGAACCTCACAAAGTCCTTGGTCAGACTAATCATTACTTAGCAACAGCTGAAAACATCAGTGTTATCAGCACTGTTCCCAGGCTGAAGCACAACGCTGCACCAGCTACCAAGGAGAAAAATTGACTGCTACTGCTAAACCCTGGACACAGTCCAACCACAATGTTCAAACATGTACCATTTGCAAAGTGAAAGAAAACAGAGTATTATTCATTCTGAAAAGAGAACAGCTGAAATGATTTAGTTCTGTTAACTCAGCTACCAAGTTCAGTTTTTCATGAAATATCCCAATCACCTCCACCTACCATGCATCGGTTTGGTTCACAGCCAAATTAAAATTTACTCTAGGTACACATCTAAATGTGCTCAAATACCATAACAGTCCAAATCAATTAATGGTCTACTAGGCTGTTTTGAACCATAAATTATATGTCAGATGGTCTTAAGAATTCATTAGGAGAACAAAGATAGGTCAAATACTTCAAGTGCTCTCTGCCTCCAAAAATAGGTTTGAAGAATTTTTCTGAGGCAACACAAAGTGTTCAAATGGATTATTCCTGGTACTACCCAAAGCGCTAAAACTGTTTCAAGGACAACTGATGCCTGATGGCCCACAATTGCTCTGACAAAAATGGGCCTGAAAGAGTCAGAGGCTTTTACCATGGGCATTAACAAGTCTTTTTATCAGTCTCCTTAGAGCAGAGCTGTGACAAAAAGGGAAAACACATGATCTTCTCCATCCCAGTTTTGTAAAGTGTAGCCCTAGGACTAATAGTGCTGTGTGTCAGCCTTTTCTGCTTCTAGACTTTCAGCTCTGGAGCTTTGCTAATGAGTGATGCTCTAGTTTCATGGGTTTTAGAGCAGTTATAAAAACCAACTCATCTTGCTAAAAATATTTCCTGATAACACTACTGTGTCACTGCATCTTTGCACTTTTTCAAAATTAAGTGTAAGAACACTTAGCTACAGCATGTTTCCCCATAAGGAAATAGCCACTATACCTGTCAGAGAGAAAATTTCCTATTGGAAGTCTTCAAAAACAGTCATTGTGTAAGCTAAAGATGAGAAGAAACAGTCGAAGTATTGAGAAAGGGCATGTTACAATGAGCCTTAGCTGGTATCCACAAACAAAAAGGGGGGGGGGGGGGAAATCAGGTCCTCAAAAAAATTTATAAATAAAAACACCCAAAAGAGAACAAATAAATCTCAGTCATTCTTAAATCTAATCACTAAAATCATCTAAAACCACAGTAAAAATCTAGAAGAGTTATGCATAAACATATCTTCTGACATAACAGAAACCTGTAAGGAAAATAAACCCAACCTGAGAAAGGTACATCTCTCAGAACAGTAGAACTCCAGCCCCTCCACAAGGAAAGCCATCCGTCTGAAGCCACTTTACTGCTGACACACAAGTACAGTTGCTTGGAGGAGAACTTGCAATACTGCCTTCTAGTTCTGATCAGCTCCAGGGGGCTCACAATGGTAACTGAACCAACTAGAAATGAAAAAAAGGTGGGGCTGGTTTTTTTTTCTTCTAAATCAACATTTACTGGTAATATTTCTGGAACATAAACGTAAGGTCTCACCTTGCTTTACAGATTTGATTCAACTCTATTTCCCTTGAAATAATTCCCCAAATAAGCTTCCTTTCCAGATAAGAATACCATACCTACTCACAGTACCTGATCTTTATGGACTGACAAGTTACCTACCTTTTTTCAATACTGGCATATTGTAATCCATGTCATGCATTAAGAATCATCATTTTTGGATTTATTGCATAAGTAGGCTGAAAATTTCAAGTACTCATAAAAAGTAATTTTCAATAATTGCCATTTATAAGTGCAACTTGAGGAAAGTGAGCCTGGGGTTTTGTTTTGGTTTGTTTGCTTGTTTCTGTTGTTAAGGACAAAAATGATGGCAAAGATTAAGTTTTTATTGATTTCTAAGCATTTTCTTAGCAATTTCTAAGCAACTTCCTTGAGTAACAAGCGATAGAACAAGAAGTAATGGCTCTAAGAGGAAGTGTTCTAAACCCATGCAGATGAGGCCCTCAGTGATATGGTTTAGTGATGGTCTTGGCAGTCCTGGGGTAATGGCTGGATGTGATGATCTTGAAGGTCTTTTCCAACCTAGCTGATTCTATGATATTTGCTATTCTTATTTTAAACTATCAAGAATGTATCTGATAAAGCAACCCTCCTGCATCTGGTAGAAAGTGAGTCACCACTCACTAACAAGCTCCCATCACACATGTAAGACACTTCAATGATTTTACTAGATCCAAGCACTTCCCTCCTGTTGCTGGGGTAAGGTTTCCTTGACATCCGAATTTAAAATCTGGAGCAGCCTAATAAGAACAATTTGCCACATCATCACAGAATAACAATTCTTTTTCCACTAGTCTTCCAGTCCCCCCTGTATTTTCACAAGTAGAATATAGAACTAAATCCTTCAGAGTTCTAAGAAAGCCCCAAAACATAAGACCTGAGCTACTTCTGTACAAAAATATATGAGGAAAAAGATAAACAAAAGTAAGAAAATATAAATAGAAAATAATTCCCCATTACATCATACAGCAATAAAACCAGTACAAGTCCTATTTTCACTTCCCATGTAATTACCTATGTAGCTTCCATTGCAGAAAATAATGTGGTTCATTATTAGATTCACAACAGAACAGAATTAAACTGTCCTTGGTAGAACCCTAAAACCACAAAATTCTAAACAAATTACAAATGTTGTGGAAGTGTAACAGTAAAACTAAATCACATTATTCCAGATGAGAGAGTTATGTTGCCTAAGAAATACTGGGTAATTACAGTATTCCTTCTTATGCCCAGCTCCATGTAATATTATCCCTCATTTAAAGCCACACAAATTTACTTGATAAACCCAAGAAAACAGCATACAGCTATTTTATTTCAGTTTTCTCTTTAAACAAATGGCAACTTACATCTGCTTAAGGAACCTGTAAGAATTGGTGCTCATCATCCTTTCCTAGTCTAGATTTCAAAGCTTCACTCAGTTGGTCATAGCAGGTAAAACAGATTACTCTGGTAGGGATGCCATTATTCTAAAAAATAAGAAAGGGAGTCTAAATTAATACCAGGAAAGCAAGAGATAAAGTCAACCATCTTGTATCAACATTTTGCTTAAATAAGGAAAAGAGAATTACGAGAAGAGATCTGCTAACAGTGTTGAAATACGTAAATGCTCTTGTAGAGAGAAAATGAATGATCCATTTTTCATGACAAAGAAAGAGGATTCTAGTTAGATGTTGAAAAAAAAAGGGGGGGGAATGAGTGTGGAAAGAGCTGTGTTGCTGATAGCAAGTCATTAGTCACAATTTAAAACAGCAAATACCTATCAAAAACTAGCATTCTCTAAGAATCATGTTCAATCCTATGGTTCGATGATGCTCAAGGGGATGATTACATTAAGTATACCACCTCTAAAAGGAAGACTGAAAAGCCTGATGTTCCTGTTTAGCTACTGAGAATGTATCTAAGAAGTTACAAGAAGAAATCTCATGATTGGGCAAAATTATTCTGTCTCTAGATGTTTTTGATCAAACTGGTTACATCATTATCTGTAACTTCAGAATTAAACCAAATTTTTAACATCACTTTGAAAGAAACATACTAATTTGTCTAAATAATGAAGTATTTTTTTTAACAATAATTCATAACATGTTACCAAAAAAAGAATATTCAACTTACAGTGTTGGTGGAAGTCCCCTTCACAGTGACTTAACTCCCTCTCTTTGAGTAATTTTCACAAATGCATCCTAAAAATACAACCAACAAACAGCAACAATTAGCTCCAAGCTTTTGTATTCAGTAATATACTTTAGCTGTCAAAAGACAAATTCATTTATTAAAAAGCGCATTTCTAAAATGGCTTATAACTTTAACATCTCACTTTTGTAATTGCTTCTGCTAGTTACCATATTTAATCACATGTAGGTCCTCTGTGCTGAACAGAAATATTTGTGTGATTGAAATCAAGAATTTCTTTCCATCTTTAAAAGGTCAAAGTAGTAAGCTTTTATCAAGGACTGACAGTCCTGCGAGTAAGTGATTTTCAGAACTAATACAGCATGCAGCAACATGTGGAAACATACCCAAAATAATACACTAAAATGCTTTCTTAATACATAACAAAAGTTCTAGGCATAAAATAGCAATTAACACTCAATGATCCTTCAATACTTGCTTTCTCTGACAACAACGTGACAATGTATGCGCAATGTACCTACACTATATCTGGTAGCTTACAATGAATATCATAGCTGTCCCTTATGTTCCTAGACCACTGATAGCAAAGAAAACTAAACTTGAAGTTCAACTGAAATCACCATGAAAATGACAAACTCCTTCATATAAGGTACCTTATTTTCTTAAACATTTGAGGGAAAAAGATTGAGATTTGATGGCTTAGAATATGCTGAAGACCAGACATTATCAAAAGGCCTCAAAACATATAGCCTGACAGACCATAAAAAGGAGTCACAGGAAGAAAATGGCGAAGAGCTTTAAAGGAGACAGCTTTGATGGACAGATCACTGAAGTTCTGGTGTCCTCAACATAAAAAGGACATGGATCTGTTGGAACAAGTCCAGAGGAGGGCCACGAGAATGATCAGGGGACTGGAGCCCCTCCCATATGAAGATCGGCTGAGAAAGTTGGGGTTGTTCAGCCTGGAGAAGAGAAGGCTGCGTGGAGACCTCATGGCAGCCTTCCAGTATCTGAAGGGGGGTTATAGGGATGCTGGGGATGGACTCTTCATTAGGGACTGTAGTGGTAGGACAAGGGGTAATGGGTTAAAACTTAAACAGGGGGAAGTTTAGATTGGATATAAGGAGGAAGTTCTTTTCCTATGAGGGTGGTGAGGCACTGGAATGGGTTCCCCAGGGAGGCTGTGAATGCTTCATCCCTGGCAGTGTTCAAGGCCAGGTTGGACGAGGCCTTGGGTAATATGGTTTAGAGCGAGGTGTCCCTGCCCATGGCAGGGGGGTTGGAACTTGATGATCTTAAGGTCCTTTCCAACCCTAACTATTCTATGATTCTATGATTCTAAGTAAAAAGTTGCATGGGGAAAACAAAGACACGATTTACTAAAACAAGCCTGACTTGAAAAAATGGAACTTTGAGAAGGAGTCAAGAAACCCTAAAAGGTCTTAACATGATTTGACCAAAAAGACATAAAAAGGGGTGTCTATAATTTTTCAAATAAAATTCTGTAATTAGTTTAGTTAGTTTATGTGTTTGTAATCCAGCTTCAACAAATTTACAATACAGGAAGGTACAGATAAAACAATTGGAGAAAGGAGGTAACAAAAGCCCATGTTTATATATCTGACTAACTATATGGGCAAATGCATAAAAATATTTGTACAGTCCTATCACCAGAAACCTACAATGTCCACTACTATTTGCTTTACTGCAAATTGTCCAGCACTGAGGGTTTTTTTAACAATGATATGATAGTCATTGCTCTTTATGGATCATATTATCGCAGAAAAAATAGGCAGAAATTCATGTCATGGTAATGTTAAGTAAAAAATTTAAACTTATGAACTTCTTAATTAAAAAAGGTAACACTGTAAAACTGTTCAAGAAATTGGCATGACCATTTCATTCTTCTTGGAAATGTAATTCTAAAATATTCTTATCACATGTACAACAGAGACATGGCAAAGTCAAATATCTTCACTAATAAAGCTGCATCAGTGTCCAACAGCAGGTTTGCTTCTAGCGTTTGGGTAAAATCCTACTCCTACAAGTTTCAATGGATCCAGAACCTAAAGAATGAATTTAACTTTAAAACACTATCTGCACTGTCAGTTCAGCTCAGCAGCACACTGGCAGCTCTGTGAACAGAAGAGCTGTAAACAGGTAGAGAAAATCAGTACCTGCAGGCAACAACCATCGGTGATGTGACTCAAGTGGCAAAAATAAAATTATAGAGGCAGTATCCTGTGAGAACTGTGCAGTTGCCCATTTGTTTATCTTAAGGAAGGAGTAAGTATTTTCTTGTAGGAAGTAGGAGGCATCCTGAATCGCCATATAAATCACACAGTGTAACCACAAAAACACCCTCTCAAAATGATAACAGATTCTACTACAACTTGAAAAAAAAAAGCCAATAAATTTATAGTATGCTATTTAAAAATGTTTTCAATCTATGGTTTTATATAAATGTAAAATGTTCTTACCAACATCCCTTTGAAATGCCCAGGTTTTCTATATCAGGCTTTGCTGTCCCCATTGTCACAAACACATATATGATTCATAAGGCCATTGGAGTATACGAAACACTTTCGTAATAAAATGGTGTATAAGAATATAGTTAATGCTTGTAAAATTGTTCTTAGCAGCAATTTGAAACTGGATATAATGGTAACACAGATTTGTCTCTGGTTAGGCAGGGAGGGACAAAATAATCTTTGGAAGTCAATGACAACAAATTAGGTAAAAGGCAAGAGGGAACAAATGTAATCCTCAGAGGGCCAGGCTTAACAAAACTGCACTTGTATGCTCAAGGAGACATATTTAAGCTATATTACCATCTGCTGAAGACTAAAACCAACACAAGACCTGGATGCTTCTATTGTATGTAACTATGTGAACATTTTTCAGATTTTTAAAGCAGCATCTACATTACAAGTGGCAGTGTTACATCTTAGGTTAGACTGCATTTATACTAGATCACCCTCTTTTTATTTCTTCTATGCCATTTACTTTGAACCTTTAGCCATTGCAAAACCATACTTTAAGCTTCATATTTTCATATTTCTGAAGGGTTTACAATTTACAAAAAAATAAAAAAACAACCCAGGACAGAGCACAAGATTTTTCCTGACTCACAGCAAGTATAACCACAAATATTCATCTCCACATACAACATGGAACACCAGTTATCTCCTTTCCTTTCAAATATCATCTATTAATTAGAACTGCATAGTAGAATTCATTGGCATATCGTTGAGCACACTATGTCTTTATCTATTGGCTTCTTCTGGCTGTTTTATCAAGTGGCCAATGACTTAGGAAAGACTTACTACTCTAAGTCTCTGGATTCTGGAGGAGAAAACTTTAATATAGCATTGTGACCACAGAAGCCTTCTAATGAAATGGTTACTTATTGATAGCTTTTTAAAAATGTAAACTAAATTCAGTAATAGTTGTACCTTCTGCTACAATGAAAACACTAAGACAGGAAAAAGCCTGTTTAAAATGGTATGTATTTACTGCATTTTTTTTCCACTGCTTCTGTTCACTGCCACATTCCTTCTTTAGCCATTTCAGTGTGCTGCTGTGCTGCTTCCCTGTGCCCCCCCCTTACTCTGAAGAATCAAACATAAATATTGCAAAACAAATGAAAACATTCTGTAGCTCAGCATTATGATAACGATCAGCTACAGAAAAAGGAAAAAGCAAACTGTGTCTTCCATCACACATTTATTTACCTTTGGAGAATAGATTGCTCTGGGCTTGCAGTCGAGTTTTGGTAACATCAAGAGGAGTTACTAAAATGTAACAAATCATTTAGAAAAACTCTGCATGCCCTGAAAACGTGGAAGTGTAGAAGCCTTATTATGAACTTCTATGACCTGTTCCCCCCCCCCCCGGGAACAAAACAGATCTGTTTTACAACACGAATTAGTCACACCCTAACTCTCTATTGATGCCTCTCAGTTGACTAACAGGAGGTTGAATGTTTGGCTTACATTCCAGTATCTAAACCTAGGGATGTAAATGTGACTCCTGCAGCTCCTTTCAGTTGTTTAAAATCTGGCATCCTGTAGCATTTTAGCCACTCACACCTATTCTGGCTCACCTCCAGCTGCCACTTCAGAAAGGAGCCAGTCTTCTATACCTCCTGAGGTCTCAAATACCAACACCTTATGCTGTACTAGAATCTTACATACACACAATGGAGATGCATCTTGGGAATTCCACAGGTCTGATGTAGCTTTGCTTGCTACTTTACCTAACATCATGGGACACATGGTATAAATACAGAATAAAAAGTGTATCAGTTTGATAGCTTTGTGATCAGATCATATTTTGTAAAAACTTGGAAATTCTGTGGGTGAAAAAATTGTGCATAGAAAATTGCATGCTTCCCTGCTGCATAATCTTGTAAAAAGTCAGAATCAAAGCTTAGCTTAAGACAAAATTAACTGAAATATGAAGTATAACTCCAAGGGACATGAAGTGCTGAATCTAACCAAACAACACCTTCTTAGGTACACATGGGGAAGGAGGTCCTGAGTGAGACGACTGAATACGAAGTAAAAGATTAATTCCACAGACTATGTAGAAGTCTAAAAGACTAACAAAAAGCTATCCTTAAAGGAAATGCTTAGGGAAAAACAAATAAACAAAGAAACCCAATAAAAGGCTTTGTCAGCATAAGACATCACAGAAGAATAAATTCATGTTACTACTGAAGTGTAGTAGTAACTACATGAAGGAGACATCTAATGGGGGTTGGTCTTGCAGGATTTGTCATGTGCTATAAAGTAGACTTAGTTAAAATTTATTTTTAAGCAGTAGGAAATGTGGAAATTATTTTTTATTATTAGTTTTGTTTGTTGCAGAAAAAAAGCAATGAATTACTACACTGGGAGGAAAAAAACAAAAATGACATAGAAATGAAAAGTTAATAAAAGTTTTTCTTACGTTTAGAAATGGTTAGAGATTTCAATTATCCATGTTTATTAAAACACAAAAAAACCCATGAGAAACCTATGCAAAAACATCCTTGTTGAATATATTAGTGGAAACATACAAACTCTGTAACTCAGACATCATCTGAGTCATACTGATGAGTAATCAGTATGTAAAGATTCTCCCTGTGGCAAGCTTGATAGTTTGCCTTACCTAATAATGATGTAATAATAACTCCACAACATAAATCTATTGCTTGCTGAATAACGGTTGTTTTATCCAAGTTACTATCACTCATTTCAGCAATGGCTTTATCTTTGGAGAAGAAAAACCTCTTAAGGAATACATTGCAAGATCATGACCAAAACTTGCAGAAAAATCAAAAGAAAAAAAAATTCTATTTTCATTAACATGTATAGGCAACAATAATGGAAATATTAGTTTTCTACATGTATGCAACAAGCACCTTTTTTTTTTTCAGATTTGAGCCATGTTGTGTAAATAATCTGAGTTTTCTAAACTACAATAAAACCTCCAAATCCTTCTTACATGAATTACACTGTTTATCTTTTTTGTTAGCTGCATTAATTAACAGGCATTGCTTCTTGCTTCAACAAAAGGCTTAGGAACACAGAAATAACCTGTACAAATTTAAACTCACAGTCTGTGGCCCAAAACAGTAGCAAAGCAGAATAATTCATCTAGCCCTTCTCTTGCTTTTGTCATTTCTGTGAGAAAACCCTGAGAGGCCTCCTGGTTTAATGATACTACGTACCCTCGCAAGAGCTTAATGTAATAAATGGTGACTAAATAGTACACATGCTATCATGCTATCAATTCCTTGAACAAACTCTACTCTATGGCTGCATAAGCATGGGTACCTTAAGAATGTGCTTGCAGTATTTAAAAATAAGGAGCTTATATATTCCCTGGATCTGCAACCAGCTAGGGAAGGAAAAAGTAATAAATAAAACCATTTCAGAACCTACGATCCCCAAGTATCTATTATGTGTAATCTATTAGTGTGTCTAAGTGCAGCTGTAATTTTATCAGTTGACATTTATCCAAACTTTTTATTTGCTCTACAGAAACATGTTTTCCTCTTCTCACTAAGTTTCAAGTAAAAGATAAGAAAGATTCAAATAAAAGATAAGAAAGATTAAGCTCCGTAAACCAGGATTTGTCTCTCAAATTCTAACAACTACTAACGGGGGGGGGGGGGGGGGGGGAAGGGAAGGGGGTGTGTGTGTGAAGGGTGTTTTAAAACTGTACCTTCAAGATTACAGCAAAACTACTCTCCAGAACAGCATATACATAATTCGTCTGTAAGCAGTGAAGGCACTCTGTTGACCAGAGACAGTACCTCCCACACTAGAGCTGCGAAGCCCCCTCACTCAGTCGAGGGTCGAGGCCCGAGGCCCACACGGTCCAGTGGCGCCACGCCTCGGCCATCCGACCTGTCCTTTAACCGGGTAGAGCTGCTAGGAGCGGCAGCCAGAGCCGTGGGAAGTGCTGAGACCGTTTAATTCTTCGGCCTGCCAGCACGGTGGGAAGCCGCTGAGCCGGCAGTTTCTCCTGGGCAATACTCCCCTTCATACACAGACCTTGCCGCGACCGGGAGGAAAGACTTCACCGGGATTTCCGCTGAGGGCTCGCACCGGCCCGATCGGTCCCTGAAGCAGGGTGAGAAAAGCGCTGTGGTAACGGCCGCTGACCTCCGCCCCGGCCACTCCTGGGGCTCCTCTCCCGCCCTCGCCCCCCCCCTTCCCTTCCCTTCGCAGGAGGGTCCCGGCCGCAGCCTCACCGCCCCTCACCCCACGCCGCCGCGCTCCTCCCACCGCCTCGAACCGCGTGACGCGCGCGCCAGGGCGACCGTTGGTGGAGCGCGCGGTTCGCTGCGGGGCGCTGGGCGCTCTGCGGGGCTGCACCGCTGCTCGCTGTGGGAGGAGGAGCGGGGCCCTGCGCGGCGTGCCAGGGCTGGCGGCGGCGGCAAGGGCTGGTGAGGCGGAGACCCGCGGCCTCCATAGCGGCTGCCGCGGAGGGGACCGAAAGTTGCGGGAAGGGCGGGCGGGAGGGAAGAGGCTCTTAGTGCCGGGGAGCTTAGCGGCTCTGCTTAACCCCACAGGTGTGGTGGCGGGTGGAGCGGCGAGGAGGATGTGACTCCGCAGGAAGATGAAACCCAGCGCTGTGGAAGCTGCTGACAAAGGAGCGCGGCCCTGTAAGCGGAGGGTGGCTGGGGCGGCCCGGGGTGGTGGAGTTCGGGCCTTTCCCACAGGCAGCGAGGTCGCTCTGAGCCAGGCCTCGTGCTGGTGCCTCCTTCCTGACTGTGGCTTGTGAGACGTTAACGTGAGCCTGTTGCTGCGTTTGGGCCTCTTGCTGCTGCCGGCCTAGCAGGCAAACAGGCGGGCCTTTGTAAGTGGTGTACAGCTAAAACAGACTTCGCATGCTTCGCGGAAATGAAGTGTGGACATGGAAAGGTAGCTAGCCCAGTTGCTCTGTTTCACAAGATACTTGAAGCACAGGAAAACTAGTAACTATGTTGGAATTCGCTAGGCCACAGCCATGGAGACAGCTCCACCTGGGCAGGTCTTTGCTGGGATGAGGAGCACGCATGAAAGACACACTAGGCCCATGGCATTAAAATTCATTTGCTTTACAAGAGAGCCACTTTACTGCAGTACTGCAGACTTACTCCAAACTTCTAATTATACATAAGTTTAATATGTATGTTCCAATATTAGTTTTAGTATTTAATGTGTTAATGTTTTGAGCTGCTTTGGCCAACACATTTTTGTGCTTTGTATAACGCCGTGTTTGATCCCTGGTCATCTCTGGAATTTCACTTGCATACCTGCTTATTTTCCATCTTTTCTGTTCACATTTGGAATTGATTGCACTATCCTAAGCCTCCCCATTTTCCTATTTCTCTAATTCTTTTGGTCTCCTGGATTCTACAAAGACTGCTCTTACTGTACTCATAACTTACAGAACCCTGCAGCATGAGTGGTGGTTCTGCTCACTCTTCCATTTAAGATCATTTCGGGGAGGGAGAGAATACATAACAGAGGAACTGTTTTGCATGTTGGCTTTTTGTCTCCAGAAGAGGCCTGCTCACTTCCTGTAGCTGCCCTCTGTTTCTAGCTTCTTAGAAGAGAAGTAGTCTGTCAGTCAGTGAGGATGAGAAGACAATGTAAAACTAAGAATGTGCAAGTTGGATGATTCTGTCTTTGCCATTGTAATTGGATTCCTGTGGAAGTATGTAAGAACAGAGAAGGTATAATTATTTTCACCCAATAATGTTATTTTACTTTCCAGCTATGTTTAGCTACAGGGACTTCATGAGTTGCATGTTACTTCTGTGCGTTTAGGACCTCGCAAATTACTCTTTTTGCTTGTACTTGTGAAGTCTTTCCTTGAAATTGCATCTTAGCATCGACAGCGTTCTTCGGCAGCAAGCTGCACAGGGTTTCCCTGTTGCACAGAGAATCAGTTCCTGGTTTTCATTTTGTTCCTAACTCCTAGTTTTGTTTGGTGCCCCATAGCTCTTCTTCTGGAATAGGTTTAGCCATTCTCCCTGTGTTCTTGATTTTGGATCTCTCTATTGTTTTCCCCCTAAATAATTTACTTTTGCAGGCTGACAAAGTCTTAATCCGCAAGGTCATTCTTCATGCCTTTGACCATCCTTACTCTTTTCAGGCTGTATTTAAGATGTGGCTGATTCCTACATTTATGAAGTGGTGTAACAAAATTACCCATTTTATTTTCTGTTTCTTTTTTTTTTTTTGTCTTTATATTGCTACTCAGTATTGAACTGATGTTCTTGTAGAACAATACCACACTCCAAGATTTATCTCAAGAAATAAGGCTCATTTTTCAGGCAGACTGATTATTTGCTTTTTAAAATGTCTAGTATAACAGGCCTGTGTAGACAGCTCTCAGCATTAGGAAAGTTGTTGTTGTGTACCAGCACAGTTCAATTGCTGTATGTGGTTTGTTTAGTTACAGGGTAAAATTCATTGGGACAGAAAGAGTGGTGATAACTAGAATGGTTTTGAGCTTTAAGGTTAGTTTTCCTGCATCTCATGTGGGTGCTGAAAGTTCAGATAAATAGCAGGTGGTTTTTTGGTTTGTTTTTTTTTTCAGTTAATTTTGGCTGTGTTTAGTTATAATGGATTTATAGGAATCCTTTTTGTTTCAGATGAATGAGAGACAGATTCTGTTCTAAAATGGTGTTCTTGTGACTCAGTGGCTGAAAGCAGTGTATATACAGTGGTACAGAGGTAGCAAATACCAAACTGGGTGAGAAAATTGATGTAATTGTATAGCAACTGAAATAAAAAGTCCATTTTAGGATAGAATTTTAAGACAAAACTTAAACTTTTAAGGGCTGTGTGCAGTATTACTATTATTAACATCTTGGTTTTGACATATTCAACATGTAGCTATTTTTTAAAAGCCTTATATTGCATGGAAGCTTGTTTTGCCCGTTTCCTTAATTTAGAATTTTCTCTTTGGGTGGGTGGATGAGAAATAAACATAGTTGCTTAAAATCCCTTTTCTTTTTACAGCAGATGGAATGCAAGCAAAAAGTGAGAAGATAAAATCTTCTCTGAGGAATGTTAAAGATACAGGGAAGCCAGAGAAACTGAAGTATAAGCCACTCACTGGGAAGGTGTTTTACCTCGATATTCCATCAAATGTGATCTCTGAAAAAATAGGAAAGGACCTCAAAGAGCTAGGAGGGGTAAGTTAATGAGCTCTGTATAAAACTAGAAGAAAATCTACGTGTGTAATATGCCTTTTCCATGATCTTTGTGTATGCATTTTGATGTTTGTATTTTATTTGTGACAGGATTTTATTGTATGTTTGTCTTAATGTTTAATATGAACGATTAGCATATCAACAAAGTATTTTGTGCTTTGGCTTTTTTGGGGGGGGTTGGGTTTGTTTGTTTTTTTTTGTTGTTGTTTAGGTTTTCCAGTTAATTATTTATTTGCTTAAAATTTGGGCCAGATATAATAAATTTCATTGTTGGAAATCATTACCCTCCCCCCCTTGCTGCTTATGACTGTATTGACATGTTTACAATTACAATTGTTCACCTGAACATGAAAGACCAGAGGAAGTGTTTTGCATACCTAAAGTCAGTACTAAAAGCCAGTAACATCAGTAAGTACTTTCTGCATGGAGTGTGTCAATGAGTATTTTTAAATACTCTTATTTAAATAATAGATTTTATAAACATCCCTTTTTTTTTTTTCCTTAACTCTTGCATACAGAAGAAACACTTTGATAAAGGCAAGTACAGGATATCATGGTAACACAGAAGCAATGCA